GTGCTTGTAATTAAGCAACCAGGCAACCAACTGTTTTTAGTTCTCTCCGACGGACTTGGTAATGAGGATTAATGCCTTACTAAAGGGCATAGACGATCGACTTTATACGAGACCACTGCTCTACCACTCAGCCATCACGCCTCCGTTAATTGATTTGTATTGACACAAAATGAACCCAACCAGTGTTGCTATTGAATTGAGACGGAGGAAGATAATTCATATATAATGTAGATACTTGAAAAACAATCCCCATTGAAACAGGTTTAATAATGCAAATTACCATTAGGTGTTCTTTTACCCAGAAACCACATCGGAATAAATACAGTATACTTGCAGGACCTTCATTTATTTTTCAGAATGGCAAAGGTGGATTAACGTCCGTCCAAAATACTTTAGTGACGGTTGGAATTCAAACACTCAATGCTTGGACTGAGAGTCAAGTGAATTAACCACTATACCACCATACCACGACACCTCCACGCTTAAAATACTGAACAAATAATTCTGAATAAATATTCTCACCGTATCTCAATTGAGATCAATATAACATTCAGTCAAAACAGAATATTTTCACAATACGTTTTGTATAACCCTACATTCATACACATTATAAACTGTTATTACATTGAATTTAACTTGTTTAAATACATTTGTTCGTTCATTGGACTGGTATAAGTATGTACATTTAGTGTTAAGAATTTGCTCAACCGCTTTCTCTAAATAACAGAACATTCATTTTAGTTGTTAAGAAACTAAATATTTGTTGTCGACCGTCACAGGACTTTTTTTTTCAGTTTAGGTATTCCTATTTCACTTACTTCTTACCTTTATTAGCCCGCATGGTTTGAAAACAATAGGGAAAGAATGAATACTAATAAGGGGCGTATTGAGGAAGAAAAAATCCACTGCCCCTAGGTGGGCCATTAGTATTTAAGTGTAATAATATGATAAGGCTCTCAAAGTAATCCCTAAATTATTATTGGCCCATCTGACAAAATCATTAACAAGTTTATACTTGTTTTAAACAAGTTAGTTACAAGAGGATATCTACAGTACTTTGTGAATAACACTTTATTTATATACGTGATCACACGTTATCTTGTCATAATTGATTTGATTTATTGGTTTCTGCATCTTTTTGTATTCATTATACATTTTCATGAACATAATATGGTTTGATACAATATATTTCATGTGTATATAAACAGAAAATAAACGTAGTTAAACGAATATATTTATTGCATCATTGACAGTGGATTGATACAATAGTTTATATGTATATAGTCTTATACCAAAAATATACGAAATTAGCCAAATATATTGAATGCATAATTAACATACATTAGATGAAGGAGGGCTACGAGCATAAGCAAAGTAGATTGGCATGCCCGCAGCCCTCAATTCAAATACAACAATAAAACAATTAAAAAGCAGAAGAGTGACTTGCATCTAGAAGAAAAGGAAAGGAGAGAGAAGAAGCGTTGGTTTTCTGTTAATACAATAACATTAATACATCTGCTTATTGAATGCAGGTTCATTCATGGATGGATAAACGATGCTCGGTCATGGATTCCACATTATTGGCTGAGTGTACTGTCACTGTACACACAGACATGAATAAAGTAGAATGAGACACGACAGGATCAATACTTAGACAACAACATGTTTGTAACCGCCTTCTTAAAAAAATACAATGTCCTAAGGCTTCGTATTACAATGGGCAGAGGGTTACAGATGTCTGGGCCGGTGTGTCTGATAGATTTGAGAGCCAATATTAAACTTTGACTTCTAAAGACAGAATGAGTCAGTGAAAATGGAAATCCACATTCAAGCCCCATTATCATAAAAAGCAAGCAAAATTGCTGGAAAATATTATAAGGTTACCATGATAACGTTTTCTTTCATTAATAAGTTACTCATCGAAATGCGATCATGGGTGACAGAGCACTGGCCATTCTAAAAAGCATTTGAAAATCGACCTTGCCAAAGTTTGTGATAATAATGTTCACCAGTTACTTGCATTATTATTGTATGAGTTTATTTAATTAGGAAGAAGACCATTGAAGTCAATTTAGGGTTGAGCATTCAAAACTTGGCCAAAATCTAAATGGACGTGCTACTGTTAGCTGTCTATAACATTTTTATCGATCAAGGAGTCAAAATAAGGAGAGTATGACATGCTGCAACTTGTGCATCACCAACTAACATTGGTTATTGGGGCTTGTTTAAAGTTTAGGTGTTTGTTTTGGAAGTCAAAATAGTTGAATTGTAGTAAGAAATGAAATATAAACAAAAATGAAAATACATGAGTTAAAAAACAATGAATTACATACGAAATTATCAAAACAAGAGATAACAAAAGGAATAACCTAGCTCTTCCAATTTGTGTGGTTGTATTATTGTTCCAAATGGTCTAACGAATACATGTAGTGAAAAAGAATGCTTGAATATAAAGGATATATGATTTATGGGTAAAAAGATGAATTTTATGACATTATTTGCATAAATTACCATCAATATGCAAATGTGTGAATTTTTCCAAAAAATGAATTTACCATAGTATTCTTTACATTTTATTTGACATGCATGCACATTTTTCGCGGCGATCGGCCGAGATCTTAGGGGGGGGGGACCGTTTTAAGACCTCCAATAGCCCGGCATTTTTTCCCAAGCCAATTCCAATAGCCGTGTTCGTTACCAATTGGAATGTGAGAACATGCCAATGACGTATTGAGTAAACATGATTGCCATGGGACATACAATAGGGTATTGAAATTCCCTTTGAGTTGAAATTTCGAAAATATTTGCGGTCGTGTTATTTATAGAATTGAATCTGCGTTTCTTTGTTGTGACTCACGCTGTAAATATGCACATTCATTTGTTGGATATTAGTGCATGGAAATATATAGCAACTCTAATTAGATATGTATAGAATAAATGGCATCATGATATTATGAATTATGGTTACGGAATATACTAATCACCCTTGTCATAAGATTAGTCATTTAATATATAGGCTTATATAAACTAAATACACTGTAAATAACTGAAGTGAAAACGTAAACAAAAACTAATTACCCTTACAACTAAATAATACTTCTCAGTGTGAAAGTCCAGAAAATAGTTGTTGGGAATTTTGTTGCGTAAATTACAGTTACATAAAGAATCTGTTATAGACAATCTTCCTATTCGCATAATTAGAGAATGTGCATGTGAATTGAGTGTACCAATCATCTGCAGCACCTTGTCTTTGGAATAATTTACCATTTAATTTGAGAATTATAACTTCCTTAGAGACTTTTAAATCCAAGCTGAAATCTTATCTTTTTTAACAATACCTGTACTTGGCACTATGACACTCATCCGAACTTTCTCGTCCAAACTTTCTCATTCTTTCTATTTTTCTTGTGCGCCTCGGAATAGCATTGTCTAGATAGACGGCGCTATACAAATGCCTATTATTATTATTATTATTAATATTATTACCGTTTACTAGGATCCTTAATATATCTGTCAGACAAGGAGTTGTACCTTCGCAGTGGAGATCCGCTCAAGTAACTCCTATTCCAAAATCGCACCCACCTTAATAATATGCGTCCTATAGCTTTGACTTCACTTTTTTCAAAGTTGGCTGAATCTTTTATGGCTCAATGGTTATTGAAATATATTGAGAAACTCATTGATATACATCAGTTCGGTAACAGATCAGGGTTATCTACTACACATTATCTTGTTGGCCTTTTACATAATCTGTATAAACATGCAGAAAACAACAGGTCTATATCAACTATTGCATGTACAGATTTTAAAAAGGCTTTTGATCGCTTGGATCTCAATATTCTAATTGAAAAAAATGGTCAATATGCACATAAGACCTTGGAACATAAGTTTTTTAGAATGTCGTAAACAATGTACATTATATCATCTTTCTGATATTAAATTAAGTCATGCCGGTGTTCCCCAAGGGATACGTCTTGGCCCAATTCTGTTTTCAATTATGGTTAATGATTTTTGTGAAAATATTCCTATAAATTACTTCAAATATGTTGTTGATTTATCTTTAGTACAATGTCGTAAATCAACAGACGTTTCACAATTACAACCCATACTTAACTCTGTGCAATACTGGTCTCAATCAAACAATATGTCACTCAATCCTTTGAAGTGTTTTACCCTGCAGGTTACTTTCATGTACAATATTGCTTCTCCTGAAGTTCTTTCCATTAACGACTCTACTTTATGTAATGTACAAACTCTCACAAATTTTGGAGTCATTATACAATCTGATTTAAAATGGAATTTACATGTTAATGATGTAGTCAAAAGGTATAATAGAAAACTGTATATGTTAAGAAAACTTAACAATTTCAATTTACCTTTTAAGGATTTAGTGACAATATACGTAGGTTATATACGACCAATTTTAGAATATTGTGCTCCAGCGTTCCATAGCAGTCTGCCAGTAGCACAAAATAATAATCTTGAAAAAAAATACAACGTAGAGTATGTAAGATTATTTTACGGCCTAGTTACATTACCTATGAATGCATGTCAAGTATGCAATTTACCAACTTTTGAGGAGAGGAGACTAGCACTTTGTAGAAAATTCGCAAAATCTCTTTCAAATCACTTTATTTGTCAGACCTGGTTACCTCAGAAAACATACTAATACAATTCGTCACCGTATTTCCATTTATCAACAATTTCAATTCAAAACAAAAAGGTTTAAAAATATCCCACTGTCATTTTTAGTTGACATACTCAATAAAAGATGAAAAACTTGTTTTATTTTGTACTATTATCGTTATTGCAGGTATAGTTAGTGGTTGTTTCCTCCCCTCAAGTAGGCTGTTTAAAATGTAGCTATTTTAATCTTTTTACCATGCTTGTATTGACTTTTATAGGACATTTGTAAACAATGAAAGCTGTCTTTCTGGAAACTTGTGCAATGTGTTATGGGTTCTAGTAACATAATCTAAGTCTTATTTTTGATATTGCAAGTTTTTTACATGTATATAATTAAAAGTGTTATCTATTGTGCCGAACATGTAAACATGAATATTCCAGCCAAGGCTGTCCTTCATATAAAATTGTATTTGTATGAACCATGTTTGTGCTATAATTAAAATCATTTTTGAATTGAGTGGTAATAATGTGAATAAAACTTAAGTATCTTCTTCCTTGACCTTTTATGAATAGGTAACAATTCAGTCACGAGATAAGACATGTACGATGTTTCTATGTGAATAATGAACCGTATTGATCATTTGCTTTCACAGTATACACTTCTATTTCCAAATATGTCTACATTGTAACCCGTAACAACATCGTTGTTAGGTAGGCACCTATATTGACTGTTGTACATCTGCCAAAATGCTCACCAGGCGTGTTTATACAATGTGGATAATAAAAGTAGAAACAAACTTAGAACAATCCTTTTAAACTGAAGTATAAATTCTGATTAAATATCATCACCCCTCTCTCGAATCGGTATAGGCTATGTTCAATTCAGTAACAACAAATTACATTAAAAATATTTTGTGAACGATACTAAATTTATGAACATAATCCTTTGTTTTCACATCATAATAAACTTTGACTTGAATACACATACACCCTGAACACGAATGGTATTGACAGGTTAGGAAGGTATGGACAATCAAATATATTCACATTTAGAATTCGCAGACAGCTAACATTTACAAGCTACATAAATATATACCAATGGCAATTAAGAATGGTAAGAATATGAGATAACATACGAATACTAGACAAAACCATATCGCAACTACTTTCGAGAAATCAACTCGTTTGTTTGTTAAAAAAATAAAAATGTACGTAATGCAGAATAATTGAATACTACATTAACACATGTTTCCAGACATTAACAAATTACTTTTCAACACATAAAGAAAACACACATATGTGAGATTATAATTTTACAATTAGCAGGAGACCGCCAATTTCAGACAACTCCAATAGCCTCATCCATCACCTCTAGAAATACGTGAACATTAAAATGACGTATTACGTAATCCGAACATGATTCATGTAGTATATACATTCGATTAATGAAATCGTATTATAAGTAAAGTAAAAAATAAAGTCAATAATGAAGCAGTTATTGATTCATTTTACTTTTGAGCGCTCTTTTTGATCTTCGCTTTGAAAATTATTTCTGATTTCTCCAGTAACTTATACACGTCCTTCATGTCTTCCAGGGTCTTTCCTGATTTCCATTTGCTGAGTAGTTGCTCGTAGGTTACAGAGTAATCGAACTTGTTCAAGTCTAAGAGGTTCTTAGCATGTTCAAGATCAAATCCAATGGCTTCACAGAACAGGTCGAAATGATTTTTACCGAGTTCTTCTGACAAGGTATTGATATGTTCATTCATCTCCTTCTCTGCATCTACAATGAAATAAAGGTAACTAAGTAAATCTCATGTTAACCAGTTCTACTCGGGGGCCTAAATGTGTTGAGGAAAAATTTGATTATTTTCTTACTTTTTTTAAATTCAAACCTAGACTTTAATGAAGAAACTATACATTCGAAGTTTAATCAAGATTTCTACTCTACCTTTATATATCTCGTCATTTATAATTTTGTGTTTTTAAGACTATTTTTAGTCTATGAATTAGGCGTATAACAGATTGTTTACCTTCCTGATTAACAATGTCACCAGTAACGACGTTCAACTTCATTGATGTCATCGCAGTGAACGCCTCTGAAACCCTTGCAGAACCTTTGTACACAGAAAAATAGGTAAAGGATTTTGTCAAATCAACCGATATTACATCATTGACCCCCCCCCCCCCCACCCGCGTAGTTTAAAAGCTTTTAATAACGGAACATTAAGGAAATGTATGGGAAATCAATAATTTCACTGACTGTAATATTGAAACATATGCTATATGTTGTGTTGAACTTATTGCTGAAAATCGCGGTAAATATATCGTATATAGACACTTTAAAATGTATTAAAAATGTTTGAGGTCCATTTTCTGGATTAAATCGTATATATGGGCCCACCGAAGGGTATTTTGTTTCCGCCTAAATTGTGTACTGATCATTATATAATATTGCACTATTCACTCCTGTTTTCATTTTTTCTTTAACAGTTTCACATAATAATGCATATCATAGAGAGCAAAACAACGTTCTGGTAACAGTGATATTATGAGTAGATCTCAGTAAATAACAACTTATAATCAGTAGCTTAAGAATGTATTATTCACTTTTATGACTGCCAAGATATTTTTTCCTTCAAAATAGTAGGGTGTGTTGAAAAAGTATGCCTGTTTATTACAGTCCCTAAGATTGAGTTAAAGCAGTCAATGATTAGGTCATATAAAGGAAAGATCATTTGATCATGTTCATCAAACGAACAGACAAAATGTGGGATGGGTAGGTGGACAGTAGTTCTCCCCTTCTAACCTCTTACAAATATAAATAAGTCAATTGAAAGCGCTATAATTATGGTGCTAACAAAGAGAGAAAGAAGAAGGAGGATAAAGGAAAAGGAATTTAAACAAAGTAACTGAAAGTGAGTGATTCAGAGTGTAGTAAAGCTAGAGAGAGAAAAAGAGACAGAAAGAGAGAGAGAGAGAGAGAGAAAGGGATGAATGGGTCCTGCTCGTTAAGATGAAGGGGATGAATATTATGACCTCCCACCTGATTTTTGTGTCACTGTTTCAGTAATAGGTATTGCTGTATTGATGTTACTCTGCTCGACAGGGGTGTGATCATACATACCTCTACTCACAGATTCATCGTCTGTATTACCTTCTTCTTTCCTGGAAGACCTTCGCTGTATAATTGAAATTTAGATAATAACACTGTGGCTACATTTCAAAAATGAAAAAACAATGTGTGATACATTTTTTGGAATGAAAACATTCTTTTATTTTCACAAGCCACTGGATGACGCAATATTCCTAATCCTACAAACTCTAAATTAAGATGGATCAGTTCGTCAATAGGCCTACTATGTAAAACAATTTTTGTGTGTTTGTTCAGTAGAAATAATATGCAGATTACCTTCTTTGTCGATGTATTTCGTTAATCACACACATTTACATGTATTTAGTACTAACTGTAAAACATTAAATCAGATAATGACTACTTGATCTTCTTAGATTTGCCTCCAATAAATAGTAAAATTTAATTTTGCTTCACCTGAAGTACAATAAAAAACAAAATGTGACAAAATAACAAACAGTCTTACCTCTCCTAAATAGAGTCCAAGTGATTTATGAGTTGGTTCAATATCAAGTTTCTTCACCCTATCTGTAATTTCTGTTTAAAGAAACAAGAACAATAACAAATCGTTGAATGGTTTGAAATAAACCACATCTGTTTTAGCCGAGACCTAATCAAAGTCTTTACAGTGTATTTCGCCAAGATCACTACCACTACTGTAATGTATTTTTAATTACGCAATCTTTCGCTGACAGCGTACATAGAGCAATTTCCGGTCCTGTATCCAAGCTTCATCATGCGCGTGTCATGCAGTTGGTGATGCATTGTGGGACATGGCTATCGACGCAACGGGACATTGTGAGCAGCAGACGGCAGCAAATGTAAATCTGTAGTAGTATCAGTAGAATACCCTGCCTCTAAGGTCAATCAAGTATCAACAAACCTCCGAAATTTGGACGATCATTCGCTTCATAGCTCCATGAATCTCTCATTACTTCGATCAGAGCTTCAGGAGTGTTTTCTGGAACAGGATCCTCACAGGGAGTTGTGTTATCTACTTTCTGTTGCTTCACAAACTCAAATTCTCTGTCTAATATACAAACAGATTGAAAAGTGCAATACAGGGAAATAAATTGAATTAGCAATACGAATGAATGAGTAAAACTTACAGTTAAATCTAAGTGCAATAAATATCAAAATTTATGAGCATTAGCAAATTGAGCCTATAGCCTCTGTGTAACATTATTTGTTATTCATTAGCTGACTTATGATCTAGTTGAAAACAAAGTTTACACCAATTTGAGGATGTGATATGGCTCAGTGGTAGATCAGTTATCTCATTCCTGGGAAGACCCTGGTTCTAAATCATGTGGATTCACTTGACTAGTGCTCTTTGGTAAGGTATTAAACCTCATTACCATGTCCCTCAGAGAGGATGTAAACCCGTCAGAAGTTCATAGAGCGTCATCGCAAAGCTGCGGGTTAATGTATGAAGAAAAAACATACACTTTTTGAGCTATCACGTACAAAAAAGACAAATCAACATCTAAGTAATGCTATCAAAACAGGAAACAAAAACTCACCGGAGTAAGGGTGAATACCCGTCAGAAGTTCATAGACAGTCATCGCAAAGCTGCGATTTAATGTAGGAAGAAAACAAAATAACATGTACATGTACATTTTTGTCATTTTCCAATATGAAATAAAGTAATACATGAAATAATAATTTGTATATACATAGCTTAATAAAGATATTATTAGTATATTAGGAAACTATTAAATCAGGTTTTTTTACATTAAAAACATGCGTTTTAAATCGCCCTTCTTTTCTTTTACATACAATTGGGTTTCAATGCACCCAAGGACATGTGTTTTATAAATGTTTATATGCAATTGTTTGTTGGGTCGTCTAGGTTATCGGTTCTAGATCGATAGTGCATGGTACCCTAAAACGAGGGGCAGATCCAGCAGGTGGCGATTGCGGGGGCCAAAGAGGGGGCCCGATTCGAGAGAAAATATTTTGCGGCGACTCAAGCAGGTAGGGGCGAACGGGTGGGGTGGGGGTAGTGAGCACTATTTCTTTGGCTGAACGGAGGGGAGGGGGTGGGAAAATGGAGCTCTTTTTACCCCCCCCCCTCCTTGAGAAGAAAGAAAGAACCCCCCCCCCCCCCACTGGAAGAAAAAAATTAAGAAGGAAAAAAAGAGAAAGGGAGGCAAAGGAAGGAAAAAAAGAATGAATGAGTGGACTAAGGTTTGAGGAAGAAGCCAGTAGAAGACACGTTTTCTTTCACAATTCAATCGCATGACCAGAACTCAACTCCACATATTATTGTTCAAAATTCGAAACTCTACTGACGTTTAAGTATGTTTAACGTTTCAAATTTCGGCAGCAAGGTTACCAAAATGATGCTGAAATAACATTTAACCATAATGAAATAGTGAAACCAGGGTATGAAACAATACAAAAACACTTTTAAAAATAACTAAAATTATTATAAAAAAAGATAACCTGCATGAAATGACCTTCAGTTACTATAACCTGAATAGTATCTCCCTCAAGTACTTTAATGTGTAGGACGGTTAGAGTATATCCTAAATTCCTTCAAGAACTCATTCAAGATTCAGAATATACATTAATTGCTAATTTAATGGACTTCTGAGGAGTGTTTATATGAATTATATTTTCTCACCTGTAGACATCATACTTTGGAGTAACAACCTTAGTTGAGTCGGGTAAGTCTGTTCTAAAAGCTTCTGGCGGCTTGTGGCTGTCCGTGCCCCAACACCTATCACCAAATGAAGTTTGGAGATTGGTTGCAAGGCCAAGATCTGAAATCTGTACATGACATCAACAGAGAGAGAGAGAGAGAGGACACCTCAAATTCACATCACACTTTTCTAGACTGATGTGTCCTGAACAGTGAAGGTAATAAATATCTTGTTTGGCAGGAAAGCTCATGTGATCTTTGTTTGATTTCTTGAAGGAGAATTTCGGGGAATCGTACATGCTGTCCCATCTTCCTATAATAAATTTAGCTGCAAGCTCCATCATGATGTGTGATATTAAAATAGTCTATCTGTCAGAAGAATTACAAATTAATACCCCAAAAAAAGAAGATTAATTGAATATTAATTTTTGAAGCTTTAGTGACAAATCTACATGTAGGTTCGAGGGCCAGGCAAGGGGGACCATCAACATTATAGAGTTCCTTAGTTACTCCTGGAAACCTTGTCAGCAGAAAGTCATTGATGGCGTATGATAAGATCGGATCTGGGTGACCACAATTCATGAAATCGTCATATTAAGTAAAAGTTCACCGACATCCCACTGAAATTTGTGTTTATTGCAATTGTTTCAATGGGATATCTTAAGTACTTATGACGGTTTCTTAAAATGCTGCAGAGATGACAGGTGTTGAATGTTACCTTGACATTAAGATCACCATCTACTAGAACATTCTCCAGCTTGAGATCACGATGAATGATATCATTGGAGTGGAGAAAATGCATTCCGCACGAGATTTGATAGATCATCCTGTTGGTCAGAGGCCAGAGATCAGGGTGGTGTAGCCATTTAGTAGTGCGGAAGTCCCAAAGAGATCCATTCTCCATGTATGTCATGACGATACCAATAAGGCCACAGGTACATGCATCATCTTTACACTCCACAAACCCTTTGATGGAGACAATATGTTCACATATGAGGGAATTCTCGTGCTTTTGAGCCTCTTTCTGGTACATTACCACTTGACCTCTATATAGGTTAGTGAGAAAAAAAAAGAAAATTATACACAAGGCATGAAGATTTGTTTTATTAATATATCTCTTATAACTGCATCTCTACTGTATGAAATGGGGTTCTTAAATTTAACAAAGCTAAAAATCTTTAAATTGGTTATGCACAACCAGGCGCGTACGCAGAGGGGGGGGGGGGGGGGGGTTACCCCCCTCACATTATTTGTTGTAATGTGTGTATTTTTGAGCAAAACCTCCCCATTTTTTTCATTTTTTTTCTTTTTTAATAAATTAACAATAATTAAAAAAAAAAAAAAAATATGCCCTCTTACACCCCCCCGCGCTTATTCAGCGGCTGGCTGAGTCGTTGCAATTTTTTGGGGACCAAACAAAAATGTCCTCTTACCCCCCCCCCCCCCCCCCCCCCCGTACACAGCGAATGACGACGAATGCACAGCGTTGGTAAAGAGTTGTTCAAGCGTTGGTCCAGCGCATTCGACGAACGAGTAACGAAGGATGACGCATGGAAGCAGGAGACCGTCAAATACATGGATATGCGATGTGTCGTAATTCGAATTACCACACTACCTAAATAATTACGTCTTGTAGTAATTCGAATTGTCACACTACGTCGTGTGGTAATTTGAAAATTTCGTAACGACTCAGCCAGCCGCTGAATAAGCGGGGGGGGGGGGGCAGATCACATATTTGTTACAGTTGGGGGGGGGGTTGCTAAGGTCACCTTTTTTGGTCACCCATTAGCACAATTGTTTTTTTCTTTGTATTAAACCCAAAAAATGATGGGGGTTTCGTCCAAAATACACAAACATTTAACTAAACAAATTTGTTTAACTTACCGTTTACCATATTTAGCAAGCTTCACAGCTACATCACCATGTACTGCATGTGTAGCCTTGAAGACCTCCCCAAAAGAGCCTCCACCCAAATGACAGCCTTCCAGCTTCCTTGCTTTCTTCTCGTGAAAGGGAAATCTACCCCCACTGGAGTCTGTAACAGTGAGGTCCGCCATCACAATTGTTTTAAGATTTACTTCCGGTTGAGGAAAAGGCAACCTAGCATCAGGGACTTTATCGGCTGCTTCTAATGCCGTTTTTAAATCAAAGTGAAAACAAAAAATACTCAGCAGTCATTATGACAATACTCAAGACCGTTTACAAGCAGATTGCAGCTAACCTACGTTCTGCATACCGATACTGTATATGCACTTGTAATAATGTAACTGTATATATATATATATATATATCCAGTGCGTCCCAGAAAAAACGAAACCGAGAATCATCGATGTTTTATCATAACTTAATCACAATTATAATTAATAAATGACACACAATTGGAAAGCTGAGATCCTCTTCTTTCATTTGATGCAACTCATATGATGCATATTTCACGCATAAGTGATTTAAAGCAATTTGAAGAGAGAAACCAAAAAATCATTTGGCGGGTGGTGTCTAAATTTTAAAGAGAAAATTACATTCCCTAGAAAGTTCAATTTCTCCCCTTTTATATGACACCTCAATCAGGAAAAATAAGCCAGGAATAACAAAGTTCTGTTTGTTTAAAGTAATGCTTGCATTTCCATAATTTTATCAAACGAGTTCGTTTTCAATGGCTGCCTTCCTTTTCATCAAACAGAGTTGACAAAAGACTTAAAGAGAAGGTTGAGTTCTGGGAAGAGGTGAAAAAAAATAAGTTGTGAGCGTTACTCATTCTTATTATGCAAGTGTGGAAGAACATCAGATAAGACATGTTCCCTGAAAAGCATGGCTCTTCGAATGCCTTCATATTCTAAATATGCATGTAACATCGTAACAATCGGGGGGCCGGCTTTTTACGCCACGTGTTCGTGTAGTCCCATATACATCTTTCTGTGTACAGTGTTTGTAACTTTACCAAGACTTGGCCAAATTTCTTATCATTTTGATGATTCCAGAACCTTGCAATATACACAAATTCTTATATGCTAGATGATCAACCTTTTCTGGTCGGTTCCACACCGTTTCTTTCACAATGCAATCGCATGACCAGAACTCAACTTCATCTTTAACTCCGTTTCGTTGACAATCAGCCATGCACAAAGAAGGCGAAAGACCTGATGTATGGCTGATCATGTTGCATCAAATGAAAGAGGAGGATCTCAGCTTTCCAAATATGTGTCATTTGTTGATTATAATTGTCATTAAGTTATGATAAAACATCGATAGTTCTCGGTTTCGTTTTTTCTGGGACGCACTGTACATATATATACATGTAACCAGGTGACTGTTCTATAAAGACTAGTCACATACCAACATCCTGTTTCCACATAAAATGCTGGATTACATGACTCACTTTATGCAAATATCTTTTAACACGTCACCCCGCAACATTACTTTGTCCCTTTGTTTCTGAACACCTTGAACTCGTGAACCCGCTTGACTCCTCGCAGTCCGTGTCACGAGTTTAACCATCACACATCTCTTCTTCGCCTCCTGTTTTACAGGTAATTTACCATATTTTGTATTATACTTATATTTAAGTAAATCATTATTATCATGTTATATAACTTTGTGCGGTTGTACTGATGGATGATTGGATATGTTCTGATGTTCGCATTTGTAGATATCGTTGTTTTAAGAGAAGAATTTAAGTTAAGAAAGTGTAGCTTTCTTACAACTATTTGTGAAGCGTTATACTGTATGGGTGAATGGTACCCGCGAATATACAATATTTCACATTGTACATAACTATTTAGCTTTCTTACTTAAAGATATGAGCTAATCAATATTTTGTCGTTTATGAACCACTATTGTGATTCTAGTTAGCATTTGGCATATTCTAGTTGGGGAAATATTATTACGATTTCCCATATTCGATTTGATAACGTTTTGAGAGATTTCCATCTCAGAAGGAGATAACCTTCGATTTGACATTGAACCGGCCAGATTTTGCTAGTCTATAAGTCCATCTTTTCTTATAATATGTATCTAGTTATTATTTCGTTTATTTTGTTTATGATCTTACAATATCATGCCAAGATAATAATCATGTTAATATGTGTTCCGATATACCAGGGATTGGTGTGGAATTGCGGATAACTTTATAATCATTTATCTACGATACATTGGTGTCTGCGTGATTAGACTATGTACGTTCACACGGTGTGCAGGGAGTGAGCGCATCGTTGAGAACAAAGAAAGGATTACAACTTTTAACTAATAGTACCAGTACAAGTATTACCTTGACAAAGAGGAACTTGGGCTTTTTAGGTTTATTTGTCTCAACTCTGTAATCTGTATAGAGCAGGTACTATAGTATTAGAAGCTGAAGTAAATATGCTTTAGCCGTCACTATTATAAATGTATGAGTGGGTTTTATTATGGTCCAAACGCTCATGTATCTTTACAGTATGAATTAAGTTAGAGAACAACAATTATTATTCATCTGCACGATATATGTCTAGTTTACGAAAGCACTATATATGTATCACTCGGTAATCTCCAGTTGTATATTATTAGTCAGACATGTATAAATCTATTTAGTCTATTCCTTTTATGTTAGTTATAGTTTCTTCGTTATAATTAGTTAGTACATATTTGTTATCGTCTTGTTTACTTTATTTAGGTTCAGTCGAGTTAGATATTGGTTATCTTCGTAATTCAGCAGTTATACGTTCCGAGTATTTGATATTAAGTTACTAGTTACTATACATTATCCATTCTAGTGAATGATAAGTCTTTGTTTGGTTAAATATTGGAAAGGAACATGTTGTTGATATTTACTTTGCTATTTCATGTAATGGCTAAGTTTGGATGTAAACCTGTATATTACGTCCTTGTTTTCTTTTTAGTAGGATAGGAACTATAGAAGTGTATTTGTGTTTTGATTATGTAAGTTTGTTTGTTGAATATGAATATTCAATTATGTTTTATATATATTATTACTTGTTATTAAAAGGCAGTCCGTGTCACGAGTTTAACCATCACACATCTCCTCTTCGCCTCCTGTTTTACAGACTCATCTCATCTCTATTTGTGGTACCCTACTCTTACAAAAGTAACGAGGGCTACATATATATATATATATATATATATAAAAGTGCGAGAATTCTCAACTCTGACATGACAGCGGGTGTTCCAGAATATATAGACCTTTTTCTTCACGCCTATATATATATATATAGGCGTGAAGAAAATAGTCTAGGAACGTGAGACGTAGCTGTACTTTACCATTTTGTTCACGCCTACATATTCTGGAACACCCGTTGTCATGTCAGAGTTGAGAATACAACCTAGCGATAGTTGTCGTCTAATAAAAAGTATTTACTAACAAAAAAGTAGTCAGTCTTCATGATTTCTTTGTAGTTATGTTGAATTAATTTCTCATTTATGATGGTATTTCAACTAGTGACAGGGCTACCTTGTTGAAATATTATTATAATAAATAAATGAAATAAAATAGTATAACAAGAAGAAATAAACAAATACATAAGCCAACCTTAACATGGCCCTGTCTCATAAAACTTGTTAACAATAAAAGGTATAAGACTGAAAAAAGAAACTGAGATTAATAAGTTTGATTGTTTGTAAACTGCTTTGTTATTGAATCAAGGAAAATGTCATTTCTAATATCTGTATATCAACAGAGGAAAGTTGTTACAGGTGCACACGTACTAGATCAAAGCTCGATTCATGGAGCGCCAAATAGTTTCCTCCCACACACAACAATTACCGTGTATACACAGTGACTCGGCTCGGGGGTTGAATCCGCGAGCCGTGTTCAACCCGGCAATTTTATGAAATGTAAACGGGATCTCAGTGATCCACGAGACGTGTCGAACCCGCCTGTTTGGACCCACCAGAATGGCAGGTTTCAACCCGCGGGCCGTGCTATTTTATGTCATGTAAACGGGATCTCTGTGATCCGCGTGTCGAACCTAGCCATAGAGATCTATATACCTGTAATAACCACTAAAGCACTCACTACGCATTCGTGCACGCACAATGCTGCTGTGCGCAATTGAAACGGTTGAAGGTTAGAATGTTATTAAGTTTGAAGTTTTGTTTATAACACCCTTCCAATAATTATGCACCTTCTATTAAAAAAAAGACTGGTTATAGTTTTTGAAGAAAAAATAATGCTCTGTCAGGGTCTGAGGGAAATATTATGCTTATATTTTAGAGCGTATCTGGTATGATAAGTATACCTGGGTGAAGAAGGAGATAATGGAAGTTTGTTTTTTGTTAGTTGGAACACAAGTTTTATATTATGTTTTTCAGAAACAGACAGTTTGTATGAGATCAGGAGTGGACATTTTCTGTCATTTTGAGAACCAAATTTCGCATCAGTGATATTCTGTTTCATTAAATTGAGTTTCCCGCAGAAAGGATTCAGTTGGTTTAATTAAAGAAGGAAGAGAGTCAAATGAAGAACCAAAAGCAATATGTTTTTCATTTATTAATGAGAACTGTGTTTTTAGGAGAACCCCTTACACAAAATATTGGAATGGGTTTTCTTAATGTATGTTGTTTGAAGACATCAATATTCATAAAATGTATGTTTCTATCACCAGGAAATAAAGAATTTTCGGTCAGCATGAACCTTTCCTGGTTGCTTATTAATGCATTTGCCCACTGGTAACATAATACTTTCACAAGTTAATATCCCTCACCATTGGATTTTCTGTGTGGTTATGTCTAAATTTCGTTTAAAAATAGATTATATTAGTCTGGTAGGCCTACACTGCAGGCAAGAGTCGGGACTAACATTTAGCATGTTATTCATTTTAGTACCACTCTTATATTCTCTGAAATTTTATCTTTATTGAGGGTGACTTGAAAAAATTAATAAAAACCACGGATACAAATCGACACCCCTGCTATGAATCGAGCTCGCTAGCGCGTACCTTCTCTGCTGATGATAAATACCCCACATTTTTTATTTTCTTTATTCGTTTATTTAGCGTGACATACCAAACCTAGACTTTACTGATACAATAATTTATTCCATTTTTTATGAAAATGTCTTCTGTACCTTCAGATGTTTTCGCGGCGGACGCCTCTGAAACACTTGCAGAACCTATGTACACAAACAAATAGGTGTAAATATAAATTTTGTCCAACAACACTTTGTCCATAAATCATTTTGTCCAAAATCCTTAATTTTGTCTAGGGAGTCATGCACTTAAACCAACAAGAAGAACCTTAAGTTCCAGTTTATTTTTTTTCTCTCTCTCTCTCTCTCGTTTGATTGTGTTGGGCGAGTGCTCCCCCCCCCCCCCATCGGGATTAGTCTCCGAGCCCCATATCCATTAGTTCTAATACTTCCACACAGCAATCTGCCAAACGGATCAGGGCTGCGTTTCATCAAACCCTTTGTCAATAACAAGTTCCAATAATTACTGAAATCATGGCGTTTGTTTGGCTGAGAGCAAAATTGTCAAAAACAATTAGCATTTGTTTTTAATGACAAGTTTTATGAAACGAGGTCCGAAATTTTTTGATAGAACATGCTACTACCTCACATGACCTACCCTTCTCCAGATACACCGTCAGAATCAGAAAAAAAACAAAGGAAGTTAATCTGAATACAAATAGCGAATTCTGTGGAACTATATAGGAACCTCCAATATCTTCTTGGTTAACGCAAAATAAAAAATCCAAGACTAATCGGACATTTAGACTTAGGCCTAACGGTAGTGGACAACAATGGTAAAAGACCTATTTGGCAATTATACAAGATGAGAGTTATGACCGAATGTTGATTGGATCAAACGATGATTAGACTATATGGTTATTAGACGAAATAGGATTAGACGGAATCAAAATAGAACAAATGAATTTATAGACAAACAGGAACATGATGATTGGACAAAATGGGAACTGACAATGTATGGCGGGTATATCGGTTATATGTATACTAGGTGTAGACTAAATAAAGTAGGACGAACTGAGTATTGGAGCAAGTGGCATTTGATCAAACGGCAATACACAATTTATTTGATTGAAATTCGTTCAGTTATAGGATGAGGAAAACTCACTGAGTTTGGTTTTACAATGTGGGTAAGGAGGTACAGGTAGAAGAAGAAACAAATAATAAGGAGATTTTTAACAAATACCTTTAACAAAAGGGTATGATTTAAAAAAAATAACAATTAAAGGGATAGTTGAGTTTTGCAGAGGGTGCTACACAAAATAACTGTTTGGCGAGATAATGAAAAAATGAGTGTCAAATTTGAAAGAACATACAATTTAAATTACGAAATAATCTTCTTGGTGTCAAGTACAACATTTTTAGGAGAAAAAAATACATCGTTTTTCATTTATATAGGGAAATGTTAACAAATACCTAAACCAAAAAGGGTATGATTAAAAAAGTTAAACAATTAAAGGGGCACCTCAAATATTTGATAATTTTGAACCAGTCGTTGAAAAAGCGAGATAGCGCCCTTCACGTTGTATCCGTTATTTACATGAAATAGCCACCCATGATCACTGTTAAAAAAATGTTAATCATACCTTCAGGTCGTGCGTTTGTCCTCTGCTCTTGTTCGCTCTCGAGATACTGAACTACATCAAGATGACCTTTGCGTGATGCAATAAGAAGTGGTGTCTCACCAGCATTATTGCCCAATTCAACATGTGCTCCATGATTAACGAGGCACTTAACAACATGAAGATGACCTTGATGCGATGCCAAGTAAAGAGGTGTTTTACCATTTAAATTAATAACATCAATCTTTGCTTTTTGACCAACGAGATATTGAACTACTTCAAGACGACCCAAGAATGATGCAATATGAAGTGGTGTCTCGCCATCATTATCGCCGCTCTCAACCTGTGCTCCTTGATCAACGAGGTACTTCACTATGTCAAGATTACCATTGCCTGATGCAATATGAAGTGGCCTATGACCGTCAATATCACCCTTCTCAACCTGTGCTCTGTGATCGACGAGATACTGAACCACGTCAAGGTGACCATTGGCTGATGCATTGAACAGAGGTGTATAACCTTCTTTACCACACGCATCAATCTGTGCTCCTTCACCAACGAGATACTTAACTACGTTAACACGGCCATATAAGGCTGCCACGGCAAGGGATTTATCGACCTCAGTAGGCTCATTTGCTGCTCTTTCAGCCATGTTTTGTTCTGTCTGTGGACCCAACCGTGAAGCGAATCTTATGGATATCTCTTCGTTCTAGACCTTATATATTGTGTCTGTCAAAGTCATCTTTGCGTTCTGTAAATCGTTCTTGGAAGAGACTAAGTACGTCAATGTAGTCACCCGCATTATAGCCTGAGACTGAGAGGTATATATCTTCCTCTGTTACCCTGTAGGTTTAAACTTTTCGAAGCCTACTAATGCTTATTATATGCATTATTACGGCAAATTAATGATTTTAATTTAATAAAGTGATACTTGCAACTAAGCATAATCTCGGACAGTCCTTGCCCTGTTAGTACAATTTTGATATCTCCACTTTATTCGTCCTACTAAAACCAACGTGCTCCGGTCTATCCAAATATAACATTGAAGGTATGGTGCTTCAAAATGAAATTGTAGATTGTCCATTCAGTTCCTAGATCAGTCATTAAATTGTTCCACAATAAATCGCAGGGACTTTTTTATTTTTATTTGGCTCTCTTCTTGTTAACAGACAAAACAGTCATAGAGAAAATGGCAGATCCTTTTGTGCGAAACGGGCGTTATTTTGAAAAACATCATCGAGATAGTACGTCATCACGACCTTATTTAGGCTACGATGGAATGCAATCCAGAAGTATATGAAAAGAGAATATATGCATGGTTGACTATTTAGAATGAGCCGAATCAGCTAGTCGCAGCAATTTTTATTGACATAATTTTTATTGAGTTTACCCTCTTGATCGCACAAGGTTTTTCTTGGTCCCATGATACATCAACATAATGTATGAATGCAAACTGAAGGTTGATTAAAACTTTCTGTATTAATAATAACGCAAGAATAAATGTATCATACTATATACACACAGATTATTATTCAATCATCGGAAAATATGACTGTTAGTGCTATTTTAATTTATGAAACACTGTACCTTTTCTGAAATCTGCCCCCAAAATCACTGTACATTGTCCTTGGAAATGCAACAAGTTCACCACATAGGACAGTTTTATCAAAGACGTTTTGGCATTTACTTGAGCTAATTTATCTGCATCTCTCGATGTAGGCTTCAGCCCAGGAGACCGGAATTTTTAAATAAATCTTCCTCTATGTTTTTCTTTGTTTCGTTGGTCTAACGGGCTGTAGGTGTCTATTGCCGTTGGCCTCGTTGACCTTTCAAAACTTTCCCCATTTCTATATTTCCTTATGCATTTCTTCCGTTTGTCGGTCTCGATCTGGTCTAATGGTAAGTCGCGGTCGTGTGCACCCGTTAGTCAGTTTTGGTCTCTTGAAGCTAACTGTGTCATTGCAGGCCCTTTGGGCGGTCGCTCTAGTGGACCGTCAAATAAGAATATATTTTTGTTAATATCGGTCTCGCGGGCTCTCGGACAAGTAAATTACATAGAGTAGGGAATAAAATGAACGAATGCTTTCTGATACATAGCTGTAGATATTTTGACTTCCAAACAAAACTTTACTCCCTCCATGAAAGCAAGTACTTGCTTTCAATTCCACGTGTATTTCCCCAAGCAACGAACCAGTATTTGGACTGTATGATGTGCTTCAAGAATGTGAACTCAAATGCTCAGTGGCATACATCTTTTTTCTGAGGAGGGGTGTAGGACGGGGGGTGCTTGGGAGGTGAGAATGCTCGTAATCAGGCGCCGAGACTTCTCGCGCAAACACCTACACACGCACGCAGCCAAAGGTCTACGGTCACGCATAGACGAGTGAGTAATGGCGTCTGAACTCTAAGAATAGTTTTCACATGTACTTACTCGGACACTGGCACACATTATCAATTTGTACATACACTAAATTTGTTTTGTAAAAGAAAAAACTTAGTAATTTCATCCTGCTGACTCATTAACTCATTTTTAGCCTCCATAGATAATGGTAATGTCCCAAATAATGACAATACGGTTACAATGATGATGATGATGAAGATGATTAGGTATAAAGTATATCCATGTATTGATGTACCTATTGTCATGAATGGCACACGCGAAAAACACAAATGTAATGTTCTTGAGATAGATTCGATTTGAGATTAAATGTTTAGACTTATCTGAAAGGAATGACTACATAACCTACCCCACTCGATGATCCAGCGAATTCCATTTACCTAAACTGAGAACCATTCACGCCCAAAACACTTTTGTCTTTACTGGTCCTAAGCTTTAGAACAAGCAATAACACTGAAGGCGCAGCTGGTCACGTCTCATTTATAAGCAAATTAAGAAAATGCATCTAAGATTTATGCAATACACTATAGATTTGTAAATCCTATTTGTTTGTATTGACCATTGAACTTAATGCATATATAATTGTACTTTTGATAGCGCGGCATTAATGTCCTTTATACAGACCCCCTGTTATTTCGTTGCTCACTTTCTTCTTGAATAATCGTTCTCTTCTTGAAATGTAAAGTCTTCGTCTAGTCGCCTTCCTTGGTAGCGTCTTTTCTCTGTTACTTTCTTGGTACAAGAACCTCATTGTACAGTGTTAGTTCTTTCTTGCCAATTTACAGACGTTATATTGTGAGTTTTTCTAGTATTAACAATTAGTTTATTAGAGATCAACCATGATTTTATTTTCAATAATTCATCATTAAAATCAAGAATCAAATTATGAATATTGTTATCGGATAAAAAGATACTAGTATTATCGGCATATAAAATATATTCAACTTTTGAGATGATACACAAATAACGTTCATACAAATGTTTAAAGTGGACTTGATTAGAATAAATGAAATATATTATAATTAATATTGGTCACTTGAAGCTTAGGCTCTGGAGAGGCGACACCTCTGAGTGCTACTGTCTTAGAGCAGCCGCATCAGCCGACCTGCTAGGGGTTTGGTGACTTTAGCTTGGCCCACCAGAGTCGGGCGACGGCAGCATGTTTGGCCTGTATATTGTGAAACTGGGTGTGGCATTTTCTTGCGTTTCTAGCTTGTACCAGAATTGTCTGTACTGGTCATTGGGCTGCTACTGTCTTCTAATAAGCGAGTTCGTAAATAGCTCTGGAACGCATGGCCCCAAAATATCCACAGATCTTTTACACGATGGATAATAATAATAATAATAATAACAATATTTATAAAGCGCAACATATCCATCTCTAGAGATGCTCAAGGCGCATACAAATAATTTTAATTAATATTCAACATACTTAAGATTAAAGAAATATTAAATGTTAACTTGCATTAGATCATACAATGTGGCACAGTGCGATTGTTTGTTTTGCATGCATTGTCCCACATGTGCATTTTAGAATAATCACTGCCAAAGGAATGGAGGTCCTTCATGAATACCTTTTGTTTGCCTCTTCAGAAGAATACTTCCACCTGTGTATCAGATAAATGTACTGTTGGCTCATAAATGAATACTGATTACATAACTTTCATGAGCACGATCCGAGTATTCGTCTCAATGGTTTTACAGTTTGGGTACGAATGACCTTTATATGCCCATGCGCAATCCTAATTACGAACTCGCTTATTGTCCTCGTCACCAGTTAAAGTGTAATTGAATTCTAGTTATTTCTCTTTTGCATTAATGAATTAAGCAAATTGTCAGAGACATTAATTAATGGAGAAATAAGATAAGCCTGGATGACGATTATATATAGGCTCTTTTGACCTGAAGTCTTTATTTGTAGATCATTTAATGAGTATAGTCTTGCATATGTAATACTATCTTTGACAGAATTTTTTTTTCTTATTTAAAAATGAACGCTCTTCAGTACAATCTTTTTGTTGCGTGTTATATGATATCTAAAAATATGAAGATATTCTTATGACACTAGAATATGAAGTTAACGTTTGCATTTGTATCATTCTTGGAATAATTGGGGTTATTATAACGGCATAAACAGGAAGATTTGTTTTAAATAATTTTTTCAAGGATAGGTAGTTTGTATGCATTGGTATTTTATTATTGTAGATGGTGTTAACTATTGGGTTAACCATGGCGTAAACTTCGATGTTTAACCAGGATATAAACCACGGTGTAATCTATGGCGTATACAATGATGTAAAGTCGACGTAATTCCCATGTGCACTTCAATACTCAAGGTGTTGAATGTACAGTAGTCCGGCCGAACGTCGAAGACTTCGACCACATTACACGTCAACGAGTTGACTTCGGTGTTCATCACCACTCCAAGCTCTTCACAACAGGTTCCATATTTAAGTAGAATTAAGGAATTGAAATGAAAGAACTTTTAGACTGAAACTTAAACTAAAGCAATGAACTGTTAATTTCAATGCATAAGAAAGTTGCCATTGTGATATATATATATATATATATGGGGCCTGTCACCACGAAATGAGTCTAGTTGGTCAAAAATTTTATTCCTGTTTTTAAGTATTATATGAATCTACATTAAGTAAGCTTTAAATTAAGGGGTCACACATTAAAATTGATAAATTATATCCAGAAATATGAACAAAAACCTAATTGGACTTTATAAACAATGGGATTACCCAGTTTTGAGATAATTAGGTGTAAAGTTAATGATGCGTAACATAGCCTATATTATTTGCCAAAAAATGTTAGAAGGAGATATTTTCGTGACCTAAGCTCTGAGGACATAAACTACAAGACATTAATAAGTCGATTTTTGGAAAAATCTTAAATGTGGTAGGTGGGTCAATTTTCAGTACATACACACTATACATCGCTATTACTACAATTGAGCCTAATGCGACACTGGACTCATTTCGTGGTGACTGGCCCCATATATATATATATATATATATATATATATATATATATATATATATAAAATATATATATCTGTAAAGCGCTTTGAGATGGCCTTCGGTCCTGAAAAGCTATTATTATTATTATTACTATTCAGGGTAGGAAGCTTGGTAATTTGCAGTACTAGGTTGCTTTGCAAGCAAGATAGAACGTGTGTATCATTTGAATGATTGAACTGTTATTGAATATTATGCTCTGTATTGAACGCTAACATTGACATTTCTGTACCATGACCATGCAAATATTATTTGGAGACTGGAATTAAAATAAATTCCCCTGAAATTTTGTGTCACTTGTTACTTTGTCTGAGTTATGTATCTTAGCAGTTGTCACTGGACCAACAAGCTAACACACCCTCCACTTTGTTGTGCCAAATATGATAGCAACTAATAACGAACTATGAATCTAAGTAATTTCAATAGCCGTGTGCGTCACCTATTGGAATGTGCGAACATGACAATAGCATATTAAGTAAACATGATTTCCATGGGACATACAATAGGGTATTGAAATTGTCTTTTAGTTGAAATTTCGAAAATAGTTGCGGTCGTGTTATTTATAGAATTGAATCTGTGTTTCCTTGTTGTGACTCACGCTGTACATATGCACATTCATTTGTTGGATATTAGTGCATGGAAATCTATAGCAACTCTAATTAGATATGTTTAGAAAAATGACATCATGCAATTACGAATTATGTTTACGAAAAAAACTAATCACTTGTTTGTTATAAATTAAATCCGTAAATATAAAGGCCTACAAACACTAACTAAACAATAATCTTTCGAACTAAATAATAATGTGACTAGAATTATCATATCTCTTTTTAAAACCAGTTTAGAATAGTCTATGTACATTTCTGGCACAATATAAAGCATTTACAATAATGCACTGTTTTGTTCACTTGCTTTCACAGTCATAATTATCTTTTTTATTTCCAAATGTGTCTACATGTAAAGTTAATAGGTAGGCCCTTATTGACATTATCTACCGCAATGCTCACTCCTTTTAAACTGAAGTTTAAATGCTGATTAAATATTAGCACCCTCACTGAAATCGATATAGTCTATGAACAATTAAATCACAAAAAACGTAAACATTACAGATATCTTTTGAACGACATTAAAATCATGAACATAATCCTTTGTTTTCACTCCACAATTAACTTTGACTTTCATACACATATGTACTCTGAATAAAAATGGTATTTTCAGGTTAGGAAGTTATGAAAATGAATCAAATTTATATTCAGAATTCGCATACAGCAAACACTTATAAGATACGTAAACATGTATTTAACAATGACAATTACATATGGTAAGAATATGAGATAATATAAGAATGCTAGACATAACCATATCGCAACTTCTTTAGAAAAAT